GGCCATTTTAAAAAAAAAAAAAAAGCTCTTCATTGGAGTCATTTTATCCTCAGTCCTCTGATGCTTTTTGTCCTCATAGCCTGATATTAAAAAAACGTATTTCCTAGGTAACTAGGCAAAGATATTTTCAGTAGGTAGCCATACTCATGTTAGTCCTAGTCTATACGGCTCAGATAAGTAGCAAGGACTTCAGTACATTAGCACCATCTGTGCAAATCTATCTGATACTTTGCATACTGATGTAGTTATTGAAGGCAAATCACAATCATTAACCTGTGATGTATTTTTCTAGATTATCTAGGTTAAAAATACCTCAGACAACTATTTCTACAGTCATATCACTGGTTTAGAAGTATATTTTAGGAATTTTTATACCCCTCACACTTACTTTTTCTTTTCTTTCAAAGAAATTTAACTTTTTTCACATTTTTACTTCTTTCTTATGTCAATTCTGTTTCAGATCCAAAAAATCACTTAAATTTTTTTAGACTGAATTAAAAAAATTAAATCTGTTTCTGAATTTTTCTTTTCCTAGAAAGTATTTCCCCATACTTAAAAGTAGCATATGCACTGTATATTTATTTGCCATTTTGAAATAAATATCTAGATAGCGTTTTGCAGTCATAGTATCTGTAAAATACCTATGTGTGAATGAAGTGTTTTTTCTTGAACCTTTTTCTTACAGGCTCATGAGGCAACACTGGAGGCTAGGGCCAGCCCAGAGTTAAGTGACCGTATGCAGCAGCTGGAAAGGGAGGTAACACGGTATCGGGAAGAATCTAGCAAGGCTCAAGCTGAAGTGGATCGTCTTCTGGAAATCTTGAAAGAGATGGAAAATGAGAAGAATGATAAGGATAAGAAGATAGCAGAACTGGAGAGGTGAGGATGGTATAAAGTTACTAGAGGAGCAAAAGACCTGATTAAAGTTAGAGATAACTTAGTCCATTTTTCTTGCCTTAAAAACCTTAGGGTGCCTATTTTGGGAAGGTCTGTTTAGAGGTTTTTCTGCCTTCAGTCCTTTATTTTGGTAGATTGTAAGCAAAAAGGTGTCTTACTGTGTGCTTTCATTACCTGGCTGCTCAAAAATAGGGCTGATATAGATAGAACTAGAAAGGTAGATAGAGCTGTAAGGGAAGGGAGATGGTAGGAAAAGTTGCCGACACTGTGATGTGTTTGGAGAACAATTTGTTCTTTTGATTTAATAAATTCCTCAGGCATGGTTCTCCAAAAAACTAATAAGAAAAATGACTGTTAAGAGCTTGTGTACTAGTTACTCAGGTTCTTCTGACAAGTGGCATTGAATCTCTTACTGGTAGGGACACAGGTAAAGTTTGGCTAATGTGAAGCCGAATGAACAGATTTGCTTTTGTCCAAACGAAATGTGATTCAGCACTTTTCAGCATTTTCCATCTTCCTGTTGGAGCCAGGGTGCTCAGATATTTTTTTCTAGCCTTTAATGTTCCAAACAAAAATGATAATTTATTATGATTCTATGACATTTGTATCACAATTACAAATAGTAGATCTTGGGAAAGACCTGAAACAGGTTCTGTTTGCTGTCGTTTTCTCACCTTACAGTGGGCCACGAGGGAGTTTCTAGGCAGTAATACCAGTTTGGGGTTTTTTGTTTACCATTCGCAATGAAGAATCACTGAATTGGAAAAGCAAAATGGAAATTTGATTATTCCCATTTGCCTTGTGCCAGAATAGTCTTTCTAATTTCTATCCTATCACTATTTAACTGCTCTGCATTTAACGTCGGGAAGATTAGGGGAACTGAGTAGAGGACGTTTCAGGTTCTGCATGATGGCAATGGTTATTGTTCATTGGCTTGATGATAGTCAAATTATGGGCCCCTCTGAATGACTTGAAAAACTCTTTTCCAAGAAGACCATTCTTGTTTCCTTGAAAGTGACTGAGCTCTGAAACAGTTCAGCTTGTCAGCTGGGTTTCTTCTCTCTTTGTGATTGTAAGCAGCATCCCGTTAGTTTTCTTTAAGTTGTTATTTTATTTAACCAAAATTCTCTATACCTATGGTATAAACTTGAACACCCAAAAGTGAGGATATGTCCTTCTTAACTGTCTTCCCTTTTTTTCTAAGTGATATAACTTTCAGCCCATTGATACATGATGTGTTCAGTAGAACTTTCAGGCAATAGCTTGATAGAGTAGGTGCATTTAGTATGGCAATGAAAAAGCTAAATAGCAGTTACAAGTCATATTTGTCTGTGTGATTTTTTTCAGTCCCTTAGAGGTGCCCATCCTGGGTGTGAAGTTCACCATGTCATCATCTTAGGGCATGCAAGTTGACTAGGGATCAGGGTATAAGCAACAAACTTCTATTAGGAGTAAGGTATGGGGAAGAAATATGTTCATAGTGGCTTAATTTTTTTCTGTGTGCAGAAGTGATTACTGTTTAGGAAAAGCAAGTCAGAAATACTCATCATTCCTCAACCTGGTTCCTAAAGGAGATTGGAATGGCAGGAAGAAAATTTTCTTATGCACGCTTTTAATGCAAGTCTGATTTTTTTTGATTACATTAGCATTCAGAAACTCTAATCAAGATTGGGACTTGAAGTATCAAACACTGAATAAACACATATAAGTGGCCTATAATCAAAAGAGTTTATAGTCTACTAAGCAAAAATAACAAAGAAGATAAATGAAGATGGGTCTCCTCTTTTACAGATAGATAAAAGCATTGGCAGCCAATCTTCAAAGAGTTAGAAAGGAACTTTCTTTGAAAAGATGCAGTTCCAGACATCTGCAAAGCAATTACTGTTTTTCATGTTACAGTGGTAGTTTCTTGCTGTTTCAGGCACAGACCAAACTCTTACTATATCAATGAAAGCATTAAAACCCCCAAATGTCTGGACATCATTCCGTAACAACTTGGTGAATACTTTGACTATTCAGTGTTATCCATTCCTTCTTACCACCTGATCTTCGCTTTCATAAAAACAAAAATAGTGTTCCTCTTCTCTTTTTAACTTCTTGTCTTTTCTACCAGTACTGAGATAACATAGAATACATCTTCTTTTATTTCTAGTAATTGGAATAGGTATTTCAGCTATGTCAAAGAAAAGACTACTTTTATTATCATGTGATTGCCAGCAGCTGTGTAAATCAAGGCGGGGGGGGAAATCTAAGAATATTCATGTTCTCTAACCACTCTAAGTGGAAATGGAAAAGGTCTTTGAGATCTAGAGACCTAAGGTGCATACTCTTATTGTGGTGCATTAGCAAAGTATCAACACCTGAAATGATTTTTCAGGTGGAACTGTAGTATAATCACAGCACTGGAGAAAAAGATGCAAGGTTTCAGATACTTTGTAGTGAGGTTTTGACTGGTAATTTCTCTTTTTCTGAGTAATTGTTGAAATTTCTATTTGGCCTTAGTTGTTTTCAACTGCTCCCCCAAACCCCTATTCTCTGGAAGTTTGCTTTCTCCTTGTGAGTTTTTACACAAAGCAGAGATTTTAACATGCCTATTAAATGTATAGGTTGGTCCTGGTTTTATCTACCATGCTTGTTTATAAAGTATTCTTTCATGGCTGAACTGATATATCCGGGCACGTTACATGGATGTTTTAGACCTAGAGTCTTGGTTTTCTGAAAAGAATAGATAATTTTGCCTTTTAAAAGTCCTTCCTAAACTGTAGTCCATGCAGAGTGAGCTAGAGATTATCTTGACTTCTAATGCTTCTACAGCTGTTCAAACTCTGCTGTGCAAAGAAGAACCCTAGTGCTTGCAGAAGCATTTGTCAGCAAGCAAAAAAAGTGACTATTACTGTGCCTATCAGGAACCGTTATTATTAAGTGTAGAGCAAGATGAGAGGAAATAAGTCACGTTCAGAGAATAACTGTACTAACAAAAATGGGATTTTTCAAAAGAGAGAGTCTCTCCCTGGAGTTTTTCCTTATGCTAGTTATATGTGACAACTAGACCATACGTTGTCAGGAGAAGAGAAATAGTAACACGGTTTCATCCATAGAAGAGAAGAAATGAGTCGCCTATTAGGGAGGTATGTATAGGGGAACAGAGAAGGAGAAAAGATAGGAGGAGAGGAGGATGAAATGAAAAGCAGAAAACTGTTTTCAATGATGGCAAAGCTGCCTTCAGTTCAAATTAAAATAAAGAGGGCAATGCTTCCACTCTTCAGTAACTTGTTGCAATTACTGGGTCGGGGATGTTGTTTTTCAGCTGTGAATGGGAGGAAAGATATCAAAAAATAATGTATTAAATATGGTGCATGCTATGCAAAAGTTTGAAAAATACTCTAGAGTCAAGATGAGATTGAAAGCACAAGCTCATTAATTTATATTCTCTGTGGGCAGGATTTTGCTTTTTCTTACGGGCAGGTGGGCCATAAGTCCGCATTTCTTCTGTGGGTGAACAGCCCTATAAGTTCTGTTTCTGTCCCTGGATTGTGGTGGTGTAGAGGGTTTTATAGCTGTCTGTTTATTCACTTTCTTTATAACTAACTGTTTGCTTCTTGTACTGCCATTCCATAATCTCCTGTCTCTCTGTAACTTTTCATTTTGTGTTTTGTTTCCTTTCTCGCTTTTTTTTTCCATTTATACTGTCACGTCCTGGTTCCACGAGTTGTTTTGTTTTGTACGTGCGGGGGTTTTTTTGACTATGCCTTTTCTCAGAAAGCACGCCTCCCGCAAATTGCACCCTCCCTACCAGGTGTCAGTCCCTGCACCGCAACACGTAGGGGGGTTTGTGTGGGACTTCCTGGGAAAGTGAGTGCTCTACAAGGCTTCTGTTTTATACTGGCGTCCTGGTTCCACGAGTTGTTTTGTTTTGTATGTGCGGGGGTTTTTTTGACTATGCCTTTTCTCAGAAAGCACGCCTCCCGCAAATTGCACCCTCCCTACCAGGTGTCAGTCCCTGCACCGCAACACGTAGGGGGGTTTGTGTGGGACTTCCTGGGAAAGTGAGTGCTCTACAAGGCTTCTGTTTCCTACGGGGTGGAATGTCACTGCTGGCTGCCCGGCTGCTGCTGCTGCTGCTGTTTGGGTCTGCTGCAATTATGCTTTTTTTCTTAGGTCAAACAGGAACTAGTTATGTCAAGTACAAGCTCTAACAGTCTCTGCGTTCAACTCATGTCACAGTGGTTATGACCACAGTCCAAAGGAGGTTTGCTGCTATTCACCCTGATTTAAACTGGACAGAAGCTGTTGCTTTTTATTCTAATTCTCTTGCTGTGTTTCACCTTTGGTTCTAATCTCTGCTATCAATTCTGCCTGAACCAGCTAAAACTCAAGTGTTCTAAAATGTGTCATTGATAGAGGTCAGTATTGCCTTATTCTTGAGTTTTATTGTGATTATTATCCTGTAATAATAAGAAGAAAAAAAAAGAAGACAAACGAAAGAAAAATAATGCTAATCATCTGGGACATGGCCATCACAGCCTTCAGATGGGTGGTTTACACACAGAGGTATTTGTGTGCATATATTCTGTAAATAAGAACTGACTCTATACTTGAGAGGTGGCAGTAAATATATACGTATACGTTGCTTCAGAAGTAAGCACTGAGTGAATATGTATGGAAATCCTGGTTCCAGTTACAGACTTGAAACTGATTTTAATTTGGCATGATTGCTATATATGATAGGTAGTCCTTGTAAGAACATAGGGCACTACCATTTTTTTCCTGAATGAAACTTGAATTTGATTTGGGAACAAAGGAAGACACTGCCCAGCTTTGGAGTACCAGCAGTCCCATTAAGGACAGCGGGAAATGATTGCTGTTTTAAGAGAGATTTTGGGGAGTTTTTCTAAAAAGAATTTAAGGATGCCCTGTTCAAGAAGAAACCTTCAAACTTTTGATGTGTAACAGTCAAAAGGTATACTCCTCATCTTAAATAT